GATGATTCTTTTAGAAATGACTGAACGTGTCATGTATTTGCTGATGATTAGAGAAGTGTAATGGGGGAAAACTCACACACGGCCAACCGTGCTATAGCAACATAAACCCCAGCAATGTGCCCTAAATGAAAAAAGGCCCCTGGGAAAAAACATTTAAAAAGGGAAGTCTGTAAATGTCCAGAGTGGTTGGTTAGTCATCCATCAGCGTGGGCCCTTTGGCAACAAAAGGAATTTACCCAAAAAACAAAACCTTTAGAGATTCATGATGTAATTCATATAATTAAATATAATTAAAAAGTAGTGTTACTGTAATTTACCCAAATTTGAGTTTTAACCAAACAAATTTTACCCAATTGGTAACACCAATCTATATGTGCTCCCTTTTTTAACTATTTCCCTCACAGTCACACATCTCCCAGTCAGGACAGACTTAACCAATCCTCTGATTTTGAAGGGAGAACTACCAAGACTTTCAATAACACTGTTTTCTCTAAAAATACAGAGTTGATGGTTGCTGTACTTCAGTACATGGAAGAATGAGGTACACAAAGCAGCCCATTGGATTTCATTCTGTTTGACCCCTGAACAGGGCTGCCTGCAGCCCCTAGGTGTCATCAGAAACGTGGAGGTCTGGGAGTATTTAGAGGTAGAAGACAAAAGGCAATTTCACACTTTTTTAAAGTGCCTTTTTATTTATCACAGTCTCTTAACAAACATCTAAAAGAAGAGAATAGATGCATCAAAGTTGGTATTTATGTCTTCTTAGATTAGGTATGCTAAATGATGACAACAAGAGAGGGCTACTACAGTGTGAAAAACGAAATGGATTCACACATGGTAGTGACAATGCACACAGGGTAGTGACAGCTGTAGCGAAGCCTTTAGTTGTATCAAAATGAGAAAAAACAACCCCCTATTTCACCCACCACTAGATGATGAACTAAACACTTTTTTTGTTCTTTAAGGGTTACAGGACACGTCATCTCCAGTTCAGTGATACCAAACGGTAGGCTGGCTCTCTATTATCTCTTCCCGACTTCCCAGTCCTCAGCAGATATTATTTATGATCACGGCCCCAAACCCCGCATCTCTCCGGTCATTTGTGCCCGGTTAACAACCGGAAGCGCAACAGAATGCTCTGAACAGGGCGACTGTGTTGGCAGCAATTTCATAAAAGCTCTCCTGTGTGATTTTTTTGGTCCAACTTGGGAATACACTTTAGAGAGGAAAAACCTTTTGACTAAATAAAGTATCCACATGTGCCTCCAATCACCTTTTTACTCGAGAGAAAGCAACATCAAGGCGTGCCTGGCGATTTTTGTCGGTTTTTCACCTTCTTGGATGAAAAACTAATGGTGGGTGCAGGGATGGGAATCGATGCCATGGGGCTGCCCAAAGGTGGGAATTTATGGCTGTGTAATTAGATAATTATCTCAAAAATATTTTATTTTCTACAATAATTTACATTTCTCAGTAGAAAAACAAAGAGGGAGCTGTCCCTGTTTTCCAAAAGTGATAGTAAAAGCGATGGAAAAATGGGGGTAAAGAAGAGTCTGGAGGCCCTTAAACAATAAAGAAAATTTATTGGGACATAATATTCCATATGTGTAGGCCTAACCTATATCTGTCCTATTCAAATAATTATGATAGACCTTCCTATATCTACTAAAATAATTGAGTTTGGGGTCATCTTTATTATGGGCATCTTGTCCATTTTGACAGGTGATTACCAGAGTTTACAGATATTTTATTCATTTAAAAGAACAACTGTGGCGTAGGTTTTAAAGAAATGTGTCTCTTTAGAAGATACTACTATGATCCTGCTATTTTATGACAGATTGTGATCAAATTCATTCTTATATGTCGTCAATGGATCAACACTGGATCAGGCGTGATGTATAGTTTCTGACAACATTGTTCTTTCGGCATTTTGATCTCCCAGAGAAAATTTAAGTTCACCACAAATTATCTTGTGCCCTATGTAGCCTAGTTTAACCTTGTCAGAGTGGATATCAATCGAATGTGTCGACACTGTGATCATAATATTTTCCCCTCTGCTGCTGTTTCTGTATCAGGTTTATAAAAACAGATTGTTACAGCTGACCACCTCGAGTGGCTCTAATTGGGTGGTATTCCAACCTGTTAGATTCATATCAACAGAGTGCAAAAAGGCTACTACGTTGGAACAGCCAGACAACTATAGCCTACCGTAGCCTACACTTCGGCCCCTGTGACTAGATAGGCATAATATGGTTATTGCCAAAGAAAGACTATGAGAACAGAACTATTCAGTCAATAAATGATTTCGACTTTATCCCACTGGCAAAACATGTTTTTATTAGTAATCTGCGACATAGGCCTGTCATAACACATCATATACATATATTTATAGGCTATAAATCATAATCAGTCTGTTCGAGACTCATCATAATGTATAGACCTACATTATTTATAGTTTCCCGACGACCTAAATGTATCATACTTCTCCATCACTCGACAAAAAGTAGCCCATCTTGTTTCTTAAAAAGTCGAGGCGTGATGCAGCTGTGTTTTGTGGGGCGCTTGGCTATAGCCTACTATCGTGTATGTGAATGGGAAGGGCGGCTTGATGGGTGTTGGTTCTACCAGACTAAATGGGTAGGGCTGAGATTTTGCTATGAGAAAGGGCGTTTGGAGGCTTCTCTAGGGAACTGAAGCCTCCAGTATGGCGACAGCATCTGACCCCCCTTCGTATTGAAAATATGCCATTGATAAAATAACCGGTTTGATTCCCTCATGTAACATCTCATGCGGTCATATAAAAAATCTGAGATTAGCCGAAATCAAGGCATTCATTTTCTGATGTGTACGCGCACCATTTTTCCTTTTCTGTTGTTTGTGTCCACATATTTAGCCCATATTTACCTTCCCTCGGCACGCCTACCAGGGAGCACCTTCTAGATGAGACATAGGCTATAGCCTACCATACAGACGTAGTGTGTCAGGCTGCATGTCAACTTTGATTTAGCAGGTTATGGTAACAGTCAATCAGATGTCATCAAT